CTTTCTAGCAGATCTTGCCATGGTTGATCTGAAAATGCGTAAATCTGAACAATTTAAGTTTTAAAATTTCATTCTAGGCCATGTTGCTGAGCAGATTTCACTTGATTTACTTGAGTCAGTGGATCATTGTCAAAATGTGACATTTTATTAACATTCTGTTAAAAAGTTCAGTTTCAGAAGTTTTTAGTGTCTCATAATATTCTTACTTGAAACGTATTTGTTCAGTGCAATTTTAATTTTATTTTCAGGTGAAACTCCAGCTTATCATTATGGAACCCACTACTCATCTGCAATGATAGTAGCTTCATATCTTGTACGAATGGAGCCCTTCACACAAATATTTTTAAGGCTTCAGGTAACATATGCACTTATTTGATAACCTTCTTCTGTCATCTGTTAGGCCTGATTTGAATGTCATTGTGGGTATGCTTAGCAAAACCCAGCAGCATCAACTGAATGGTTCTATTCAGCCATTAGTAGTTATATATTTATCATAGGTATACCAGGAATCCATTTGCTTTGTGTGTCCTCTGCTGTCATGCTAAGTGTGGATGTATTTAAACATAACACCAGATTCATGGAGTACCCCACAGTGAAAGTCTTCATACATACTGTGAGTTCATTGTTCAGGTCCCGGAAGCGGAACTGTGTTTCTCAAAACCCAAAACCATAAGGCGAGGCCAGGAAAGCACTGACAGTAATGAGTACAAAGGAAAAGTACAGCTAGGCTGCATCTGCACTGCAGAAATAATCCTTTAACTGCCATGGCTCAATGCTATGGAATTCTGGGAATTGTAGTTGTGAGATATATCCTTCTATATCAGAAAGCTCTGGTGCTACAACGAACTTCAGTTCCTTGAATTCCATGGCATTGAGCCATGGCAGTTAAAGTGATGACAAACTGGATTATTTCTGTGGTTTGGATGGTGCCCCAGTCATATCAGGATTATATTCCTTCTGCTTGATCTTTGGTCTTAAAATGTTTGCATGTGATTCCATCTAACTAGGAGAGAGGTTCTCTGATCTATACAATCCTTAAAATATAAGGCTATGAAACTGAATGTAATATTTTCCTGCATTATTAAAGCTTAGTTTCATATGGAGTATTAAAGCCTATTTCAGTGTCTAACTGATAACCTTCTGCTAAGAAACAAACTTTTTTAGAAGTTCAGACTGTAGCTCAAGTTACTCAATAAAAGGCTAGAGAACAAAGGAACAACTCGGGGGGGGGAGTATCTAGGCCTCTCTTCAGGAGCAGATTGAACCTGGCTAGTGGCAGCAGGTACTAAGAAATAGTAAGCCCTCCAGTTCCAGTCTATATGAAATGTGAGAAAATAGCTCTGATACATATTTGATAATAAATTTAAACCAGGCAGTGTTTGCATATATGTAGAAGCATTAGTGCTTTGACTATACAGTTTTCCCTCCATTTTCGCAGGGGATCCATTCCAGACCACCACCACCCCGCAAAAGCGGAGATTCGCCAATATTCAAGCCCCATAGGCTTGAATGGAGTGTGCCCCTGAGGGCACACGGCCCACTGATTTTAACGGAGGTCACCCCCCCCATGAATATGCAAAACTGCAGACTTCAAGTCCGCGAGAGCAGAGGCGTGACTGTAATGTTTTTTGTAAACTCAAACAGACTTTGGTAGCTGCATTTGCTGTGCTTCTATCTCCATAGAAACTGATAAAATGCAGCCTTTTTAGGAAAACAATAAAGAATCCTGTGGTACCTTAAAGACTAACAATGTTCATTTGGCATAAACATCCATGGACTACATCCCACTTCAGCAGATGTGTATCTCTTGAACACTGCTATAACCTTCATTTATTTATTTTTTTTAGAAAACATTACCCTTCATCTGATGAACTAGACTCAGTCTACAAAAGTTACAAACTTTTTTTCTCTTAAGTCTCCAATATCCCTTTTCATCAGAGACCTAGTTGTTCTACCAAAATATTTCTCTCTCTCTCCCTCTCTTTCTGTGTGTGTGTGTTTAAAATAAGTAGGATACATGTATATTATACATTCTAAGGGTGCAGTCTTTTATGACTCAGTGTCATAGTTCTGTGTATGGATTTACTGCTAGACTACGCCATATAATACCACTTATGGACTTACGATACATCATCAGAAGCCACCCAGCACAACCATTATGTGCCTTGTGGGAAGTGGACAGGATCAGAAAAGCATCTGGCTACATCCCCATAGCTAGATTCAAAATCTTGGAAGCTAAGCAGGGTCAGCCCTGGTTAGTCCTTCGATGAGAGGCCACCAAGAATAGCAGGAGCTGTGGGCTATATTTCTGTGGTAGGAACTAGTAAAAGCCACCTGAGTATTCCTAAGAAATCCATGCATTTACCATAAATTGATAGGCAACTTGAAGGAGCACACACAGGAATAAAGCCAGATGCTTCTTTGATCCTGCCACTCCCCATGAGGCACAGGGATTTCTGAAGAAGACCAATGTGGGGAAACTTTGGGTGCTGGGAGGGAGGGAGGAAGGGAATACCAACCTCCACAGCACTCAAAAAAGGACATAAGCAGTATAAGCCAAACTTTATATGGGTGTATGTTTCTCACAGAATTCCAGCCTATGTGTCAGAAATCTTGCACACATACCTCAAGATTTGAAGGGGTTTACCTAATTATTATCTGAAGTCTTGGACATGTGATACCCTAAACTGTTCAAAAGCAAGTTTAGGTTTCATCTTACTACACACGTAACTGCGAGTTCAGCCCATTAAAGTCATTGAAAGCTTTTGCTCTTGTTTGCCTTCAAGTCATTTCCAACTTATGGCTGCCCTAAGGCAAACCCCAAAACATGGGGTTTTCTTGGAAAGATGTGTTCAGAGGGAGCTCGCCTTTGCCTTCTTCTAAGGCTGAGAAAGTATGACTTGCCCAAGACCACCCCAGTGGGTTTCCATGGCTGAGTGCGATTCGAACTCAGGTCTCCAGAGTCATAGTCCAGCACTCAAACCAGACCACTCTGGGAGCTACTCATCCAGTAACTCATAATTTCTGAGTCTTACTTTCTGAGAGTTTGAAGTGTTACAGGGTTCATAGTGCTGCATTTGAAATTATTTTCTTCAATGAAGATGATCAAGTATTACCTTTGTTTGTCAGTATGTCAGCCTGAGAAGCCCATTGTTTTAAACTATGACCATTTTTTTCCTGAAGGAAGATGGGAAAACGATAGATGCTCTTTTATGGTTTTTCAAAGTTGCAATGAACAATACAGGGACAGCTGCAGTTCACAGTTATAGCAAGGATCCTTCTCCTTTCCTTCTTCAGGGTGGCCACTTTGACTTGGCTGACAGAATGTTTCACAGTGTGCGTGAAGCCTGGTACTCTGCATCCAAACACAACATGGCAGATGTCAAGGAGCTCATTCCAGAATTTTTCTACCTCCCAGAGTTCCTGCTCAATTCCAACAACTTTGATCTAGGTGAGAGAAGTTATTTTGATACCTTTTTTCCAAGCTTTTTTAACTGGGCATGAGACTCTGTTTTTGTTTGTTTGTTTGTTTTGTTTTGTTTTAGTTACACAAATACTATTGTGAGATAAGCATGAAACAGATTTTTCAGTGTGCTAAATTTATTTATTTAATAATTATATCCTACCTTTCTCCCAACAAGGGGATGCAGGGTGGCTTAAAACAGACATTTTTTTCTCCTGAAAAGATGAGAGAAGGTTTATGGCTTAGACCAGGGGTAGGCAACCTAAGGCCCGGGGGCCGGATGCGG